TCTGGCCCTTTAAGTGTGAGAAGCCTGTCCCTGGGGTCTTAACTTGACAACTGAATGCCATAACATCAAGATCTGATGTTACTAAAAAGCAAGGAAAAGGAGGAAAATTAGTTATCTATAGATAAGAAATTCAGGAATTTTACGAGGGCAGAGATGAGAGAGGAAGATGAAAGAAAAAATAAGAAAGTAAACAAAAAATCCCAATGAAATGTTTTCATTGAAGGTATCAGAAATATTTCTTGGCTGTTGGTTTCTTTTTTGTAAGTGAACGGTCTACAAATGCTTTATCATGTTTCCAACCCGTTGCTTTTTCGTCCACCCATGCACACCTGCCTCTCCCTCCATCACTGTAATAATCCATGCAGTCCATTCCTAAAGCAGGTCTTTAAGATGCGGTCATCTGCAATGCTCTCCAGTTATGCCAGAGAAATGGGAGTTCCCACATTGCAGTTGTTCTGGGGGGGTGGGTGTGGAGAGGAAGTCCTGTGACCACCCAGTAACCCGTGGCCTGGACCGCGGCCGTGGGGTGTTCCTTCTCATCTGTGCGCACTTCCACCGGTGATGGGAGCCACTTGGACACCCCTCCTTGAACAGCTAACTCTGCCTCGCACTCGAACTGGGGCCCTCGGCAGAGATGTAATTACGTGGGAGGACAGCTGAAAAGCTGCTCTATTTCCTGCCCCAAGGAAAGCCGTTTTCACAATGCACAGTGTTTTCTCCCTTTAACGTGTATTTGTTCTGAGGGAAGGAATTCAAAAGAGGTTTTGCTGTTTTGGCGTTCTTCCTTTATTTTACTTTCCTTTTACTCCCTCACGTCTTTTTCATTTTTAAAGTTGCTGCAGCCTATCCCATGTGGGTGGTACATTTCTTTCTCTGATTTAAAAGAAACAGATCAATAATAATATAAATAAGACCTGCATATATGACAAAGTATTTGTAGGATTTGTACAGTTTAAATAAACCAAGAAGCATTTCTAATCCCGTTACTGAAAAAAATTTCATTGGGAGAAGGCCACGGAGTACAGCCACAGTTGCTTAGAGGAGTAGAGTAAGGAAATTCAATCTCCCATCCAGATGTGTGGGAGGCAAAAGCTGGTACAAGGTGCCCCAGAAGCTGGAGCCAGGCTGGGTCAGTCAGGGTTTGCACCTGGGTTTCAGAGTGTGCTGTGAGAGACAAGATTTGGTGGGGAAATCCTGAGTAAGAGCTGAGAGGACTGTTATTAGTTCAAAGAGACTTGATGACTCTAAGTCCACATTTAAGTAGGCATCAATGGAAAGACAAGAAAGTTTAAGAAGATGGAAGGCAGAAGTGAAGGGTGTTTTGGGCCAAGAGAAAGAAAGTGACCCAATGCTTTTATAAATAATTTTTGAGGAAGGAGATGTTCTGGGCAGCAAATTAACTTGAGCAACAGACTATTGTAACTTAATTTTAGAATCTAAAGCTCTTTTGTATGTTTAAATGTCTCTAAAGAAAACTGTTATATAAAGATAAGATTACGTGACTGTACTCGAAGTGTATGAATGAACATTTAGATGCATCATGTATATGTGGACACAGACCCAAATATTAGTCACTTTTTGAAACAGGCTGGATCTTTTAAAATAGCATAATCATATTCTTAGGATGAATTTTTTAAAGTCTGGATTAAATTCAAACCCAAACTCATTTCCTCTCTTTCTGGCTTCTTTAGACCATCGTGGGCCTTCGGAGCGAGCTGGGGAGGACTCAAGAATGCATTAACGCTCTCCAGAGGGAGAGAAGGTGGGAACCACGTGTGTTCACGACTGCAGCAGAAACAAAGCAATGGCTTTTCTTTCTGCTTTTGTACAAAAAAATGTCTACAGAGATTTTTACCTTTTTTTAAAATTTAGAAGACATTTTTTAAACTGAGAAATCTTAGGATTCCAGAATGAAGGTACCATTTCTATTTAAAGAGTGACACGTAAGAAAAATCATCTGGCTAATTAAATTAGGTTTCAAGTTTTGACGGCATTCCTTGAAAATTGGTGAAGCATTTTCGGTGAAGTCTGATTCTGTGTGTGTCTCGTATGTGTGTTTTCCCTACTTCTAAAGAAACCAGTACACTTTCTCCCAAAGCGTCCAGCTTCCTACCAGGTTTATCAGGTTTGTCAGAACTGCCTCCCATCCTACTGTGTCTCGGGGGATTAAATATTTCTTCAGTTGCTGTCTCCTGTTGTCATTCCTTGAGAAGACAGAATTTCTGACCCTCAATAAGAAGATCCCCCGAGGGAAGACCTTATTTTAGGCACAATGATTCGTCTTTAGTAGATACCCGATAAATTATTTATTCTGTGTATATATGGATGATGAGATGTGCCTCCCAATATAAATGTAAAAAACATTTAGAAAACCTGTGATAATGCATGAAAATAAGGTTAACATTTTCAACGTAGCTTAGTGATTCAAATGTTAAAAGCAATTTTAATCTTTTTTATCACATATAAAAAAGAGATTAGACATAAGATTAAGGAAAAGTAGTATAGCAATAAAAAGGCAATTTTGAAATTTAAAATGTAGAAAATGAAAGGAAATTTTGAAATTTAATTCTTGAAAACTTAATTCCTAGAATGACTATTTCAAACTAATTATTTTAAATTATTCAATTATTTTCTTTGATGTAATTCATATCTACTACATGCATCTGTGGCTCCCTAGTCAGGTATTTAGCAACATAAAGTTTACTAACACGTGAGGCTGATTAGTGAATAAATGTATGTGAAGGGCTTATCCTTGTTTCTGTCTGCATTATTATTTTTATCAATGAATTGGATGAAATAGTAGAGGGCATGCACACACAAATGTGTGTGACATAATACGAAAGGCACAGACAATAAGCCGAAGGACAACCTTGGATCATTAAGATGTGAACAGTCTGGAACACTGGAGCAATGAACAAAGACCACCTTTTAAAGGCTCACATGCAGGTCCTGCAATGACAGGCCCAGGTTCAGAACGAATTGTGTGGAAAAGACCTGAGATACACAGTTTACTGTAGATTCAATAACAACCAAAATTGTGTCACTGATTATTTAGAAGGCAACTCAGACTACATGAGAAGGAAGAGTATCATTCGATCATTAGTTACCTACGGGTCACTCTGAAGTCTGCTGGGTGCTGACAAGGGAAAGAAATGCCTCAGCACCATTCACTGGGCTTGGAGTGTTCTCATTCTGTTTGAAGGCCCCAGCTCCTAAAGACCAGAAAGCAGAACTACAGATAAAGATTTTTCTTTAAGTTTAGAAAGGTGGATTTCAGATCATTGGAAAGGAATTATTTCTCAAGTAACCTGAATTATTTGTTAACAGTGGATGTTTGCCCAGAAAGTGCTGTGTCACAAGTTGCAGGAAATCTTTTATCACCGGCTATCACCTGTTATCAGGTGAATTATATTCACCTGAAACTTCGCAGGGGCGTTTCTCCCTAAAAAAAATAAAATAAAAACAGGGTCAGAAAAAAGAACTCTAGTTCCGATAGGGCTTTGGGAGAAAGAGAAACTAGTGCTCGTAACAAGTACGACACTTTAAGTGTAGAAAATAGTGTTAGAGAGGCTTCCGGACCAGGTTTAATCGTCTGAAATGTCAAGTCCCTGGGCCAACTTCTTTCTGGAAAACTCACCAGAAAGATATACTTGAAACTTAATTATGATTTAGGGTTTTAGAGTCAGACCCCTGCTTCTCCCAGGTGTGACTGTCTGGAAGTTTGAGGGCTGGCGGCCAGGAATGCCTGCTTCTGATGGAAGCCCAAACTAAATTCCAAGACCTCTCTGAGGTCTATAGCAATAAGAATTTCAAAGGCTCCAACGTGGAAAAATGTTGCATTTGCCACCAGAGAGCCTGTTTCTACAAATTCTACAAATATACCGGCAGCACTGATCACGGAGTGAGACTGTGCATCTGTCGGCCACTTTTAGTTGGGCACAGACTCTATAACAGGCACAATTTTAGGCCTTTGTTTGAGGATATGGCAACAAGCAAAAGAGAAAAAAAAGTGGCCAGAATAAAGAGACCATAAGCCCTTATTAAGTAATAAATTATATATAAGTAAAATAATAAGTAAAATTGATTGTATGTCATGTCATGCAACCATCCAGAAGTTTGAAGACTGGAGACTAAGTCAAAATCTAAGACACTGTAGCAGTTAGAGCTCACAAAAAGCCATGGAGACAAATAAGGTGGGGGAGGGGAGCTCTGCTTTGCTATTTCAAGTGGGGCAGTCAGGGAGGGCCTCTCCAAAAAACATGATGGGAGTGAAACAAGCAAGAACTTGGGGGAAAGGGTTCCAGGCAGAGGGGCCGAAAGAGCAGCGTCTGAGGGGAGAACGTGTCTAGTGTGTTCAAAGGGTGGCCGAGATCTCTGTGTGGCTGAAGGGCAGTGAGTGAGCTGGAGGAAGCAGAGAGGACGTCAAAGAGGGAAAGAGGGTCTTGACCATCTTGTCTGCCTCTGTAAGGCCTTTGCTTATTCTAAATAAGTAAGGGAATCACTGGAGGGCTTTGAGCAGAGTAGTGACATTATCTGCCTTATGCATTGCCCTGACTACTCGGTTCCTTCTTTAAACCGACAAACGACTAGATTTAGGAAGAGGAGCCAAAACAGACCCACAGTTCATGAATTGCATCATTGCTTGTCCCTGTGGTCTTGGTCAGCTGGTGGGTGTTTAGACACGACATGTACACTGTCTCTCTGCATGGAGTGTTTCTGGACAAAAGCACAATGAACCAAGGCAATAGCCAAATTTGAGTACATGGTAAAGGTATGCATGATGCGTTTTCTAAAACTCTGAAAGCCAGTGCAATTCTTCGTGGAATCCTGTAACAGACACAAAGGGCAGTTGTACATGGTGAACAAACAGGTTAAAGTAGGACTGGTCAATGTTTGATAATAGTGGACCTTCTACGCACATGTCTACTTAGTCTGCTCACCTCTACTTTGTCTGCTGGCTTTCTGTCTTTTCAACTCATGCAGACCTGTCCTCTTTCCAGGCTCCTCAAAAAACAGTTAAACCGACACAAAGACAAGCTGCGAGCCATATATGCCTCCCAAGAAGAAAAAAGTTGCAGGTTTGAAATAAAGATTCATGAACTCACAGCCAGCCAGCACAATCTGTGGACCAGGCTACAGCAAATGGGGCAGAATTTACAGGTATCAAAGGTGGGAGACCCTGGCCCTGTGGACCCTCAGGAAGCCTGACCTCGGATCCTCCGGCCAAGGGAGGGCTGCAGCCTGAAACTTCACATCTCACCTTGATCATCCTCTTCCCTTTCCCTCTCCTCTTCGTGTACCCCAGTCAACTCCCACTTTTATTCTCCACGCACTACGTCCTCCTGCTTTGTGAAGGTAGTGCCCCTGGGAGAGAACGGTATTGGTACCATTGAGAAACCATAGACCTGGGGCAAAGGGGTTCTTTACAACTTTGATTCTTAAAACTTTGGGTCTCAGTATCCCTTTTACATTCTTTAAAAAATTTGAGAATCTCGTGGAGCTTTTGTGGATGATAGCTTTCGCTATTCACTATAATCAAAATTAAATCTGAGACACGGTTTTAAAATAAATGGGTTAACTAATTTAAAAATGAAAATAATAATCTATTATATATGTAACATTTTTAATCAGTGACTACGTACTTTTTAAACTTAGAAGAGTGATATAATTTTATAATTTCTATAAATCTTTTTAAGATCTGCCTTAAGAGCTGGATTTTCATAGCTGCTTCAGCATTCAATCTTCTGCAAGATGTTTTGGTTGAAATATATGAGGAAATCTGACCTCACACTGACTTGCAGTTGAAAAGAGAGTATTTTAATGGATTTTCAGATAATTGGAGATCTTCTCTGATACTACACTGAAGCATGATAAAGGATTGCTTCTTAAATGATAGTTGCAATATTGAATTTGAAGCCATATATCTATTTTACACTCTGTTTTATTAAAACACAATGTTCTGTTCCCTTTGAATGAATCTTCTACCCATGCCCAATTCTGCAGCATCAGGCATTGGTCATTTGGAAGTTCATGGAGCTATGCTGAACTTTCTAATGTTCACCTATTTCATTATACAAGACCAAAAAAAATCCTCACTCATTAATATCACCACTAATCCCACCAAAAATGTCTTTAAGAATTGGAAAGCTAGCAAGCTCATGGTGGTGAATGCAAGTTTTCCAAAATTCTAATTTTTGCTTAAAATCTCAACAGCTAAAATTGACAATACATATTATTGTTTTTCTTACTGTGACAGTCACATTTTATTTATTTTTGAGATGTTTGCCAAATACCCAAGTCTGAATAACACAATATGTAAGTAGTTCTTCTGCACAGAGCCAGTTTTTGTTTTTCAGTAAACATCAGAAGTGTTTTATACATCCCATTTCATCACTGACAATATTAAAAAGACGTGTTTTATTATAAAGGGTATTCAAAAAGTTTTCCTGTACTCTCAATCATATTCTTAAGTGGAACTTGCTGTTTTGGTTTTTTTTTAAGGGCAAGTGCATGATGACAAATTCTATGATGACAAATACGATGATGACTAGCACTGTTCATCGATGCCACTTGGATTTCTGCCAAGGCACCCACAGCTTTAGCTTTACTTTACTCTTGATTTTGCACCTTCAGTGTAAATATCTACACAATGATCAGGCAAATAACATCTAAGTAGCACTGTGAAAGTAAGTTCAATCTCATGGTGCTCTTAAAGGGTCTCAGGATCCTCCAGGAATCTGTGGACCACACTTTGTAGGGAGCACACCCCCTATATTTCATACCTGTGGGTTATCATGAAACCACAATGTACCTACTTAGTATGTCATTATGAACATGTTTTTAACAAGAATTTGGATCTATTAACTCAATAGACTTTCTATCTATTAACTCGATAGGCTGATGTTTTCAGACATTCCTTATGATGTGTTTAGAACCTGAGCTTCTGGAACCTAGAATTTTTCAAACTTCTTGTGATTAATCCCTGTGATATTGTAATATCACAGCTGTTTTAACTTTTGTAGACAGTTTTAGGGTGACATTGAATTAACAGCATAAAATAAAATTGTGATGAATTTAGAGAGCATGAAAAAAACTTGCATCAAAATGTCTTCTTGGAACACTAAAATTTAATGCATTTATGAAAATAGGGTAAATGTTAATTTGTCCATAAATAAAGCTTTTTTTTCTCCAGGCAATGTTACAGCCACCCCATTCATCTTCTTCTTGTCAAAATATGGTTTCCAAGAGTGACCATGGAATGGGTGAATGGTTTGGGAAGGAAGAAGATTCTTCTGGGATCAAGAATGCCATTGAGGATGGCTCAGAATGGGAACCTCTTTCTAACCCCACTGTGGCTGACAGAAGTCAACAAAGTCAAACAAAAGTAGAGGATGCTTTACCAAAGTCAGAATCATCACAAGCCATTTTGCAGCCGTCTTCAATGCAAAGCACCAGGGCACAAAGCAAAACACGAGAGACCGCTAGGGAAATCTTTAGCTCCTCCCCCAGTTCCCAGGAGGGACCACTGCAGGACACCCTCCAGATTAATTCTGCTGAAATAAACAGTCCTAATCTGGCACCCATGGAAAGGAGAGAGACAGTTAACATCCAGGAGGAAAAGGATGAGCTGGAGGAGGAGGAACTGCAAGAATTGTTATCAGAACTTATGGATGCCTTCACTCTAGAAATGCCATCAGGTAAGATTTAAACAATCAATAGAAATAGCGATGGTCTTTTACCCTGCCTTTTAAAACACTTGATTTTATAACATTAGCTCAGCAGCTACAATTCATGTAGTAAGTACAATTCATCAACAGAGTCATGAATCTTTTGGATACCAGTAGCATCTCTGAACTTGATTTCTAGTATTGCCTAATTCATAGGGCTGCTGTGAGTATAAAATGCATGAGATTTTAGTATAGCACTGGCACTCACCATGAATTTAGTAAGGGCTCATTATCTTCCTCATAAGCTATGACTCACTGCTAAATTCTGAAGGCTCTCTGTCTAATCCTTTTTATTATAGTTATTTCTTCTGTTTTGTTATAACATCATCTTACTTATAGAGTGCCTTCTTATCTTAATATATTGATATTTATATCTACATCTATTTCTGTTTGAGAAAGGCTCAGATCTTTAATTATCTCGAGAGTTGTGATAGAACAGAAGATAACGTCCTTGTGTGTTCCTGAATCAAAGGAGGTCTCAAAATATTTCTGACTTGATATATTGGTTTGCTAGGGCTGCCATAACAAAGTACCACAGACTAGGTGGCTGCGATAGACACATAAATAAAATTTTTTTCTAAGAGTCCTGAAGCCTGAAATCTGAGATCAAGATGTCAACAACATCGGTGTTTTCTGAGGTCTCTCTCTAGTTTGTAGATAGATGGCTGTCTTCTCCTTGTGTTTTCACAATATTTTCTCTTGGTGCTTGTCCCTATTCAAATTTCCTTTTCTCATAAGGACAGTACATATATTGGATTAGGACCTACCCATATATCTTCATTTTACTTTAATTAACTCTTTAAACACTCTGTCTCTAAATAGAATCACATTTTGAGGTAGTGAGGGTTAGGACTTCAGTATATGAATTTGGAGAGGGAGACACAATATAGCCCATAACAGCTGGTAAACTGTAAAATGGGTACATAATGTCAGTTGGATATTGAACTTGGTAGAGTCAATGAATTCATTATTTGGTGATTCTAAAAATATCTCCTGCGGAAGGAGTTGGAGTTAAAATCCTTGCATCAGAGAAAAGAAGATCGCAAAGATCCCAGAAGCATGCTCAGACTGCCTGGGACCAAGATGGGTTGGGAACTCCTTGTGCCTGATTCTTAGGCTGACACAAGATTCCACCCACTGTATTTCCATCTAAATAAATATCAGCAGGATCATGATAAGCATTCAAAGAAAAGTCAGTATCCACTTGACCTTTTTAATAAAACTTCACATAAAAGTTTGGTTTTATTCTAGAAATTTATTCAGTATTTTAAATCTTTATCTCATGTTTATTTTTTGTTTTTGTTTCTCCAATTGAGCTTATGAAAGCTGCTGATTTCTAAAATGTCGTGTTATGTGACCCACCAACAATGTAGTTGACTGTCTTGCACAATTCAAATTCCTAATAAGAAGAGGTTTCCTACACATATTTGAAAGACAATATCTCAACACTATGTGCAGTTTGATACCTCAAGATGAAAGACTTATGCATATGTTAAGTGATTTTATCAAGGCTTACCATTAAAGGAAAATCATGAAAAAGTAAAGTTTGTTTCTCAATCAGATAATGTAATAATGTCTAAAGATGCAATTAGCATTATTCAATATTATAGAAAATATAAAAATACGTCTGAGTCTGAAAAAATTTCAGGGCAAAAATTATGCATACCAAACTTCTGTTTAGTAACTGCCAAATTGTAGGTCTTTCTACAGCACAATCCTTACAATGAATTATAGAGGACCGCCCAAACTATGAATTAATAATTATAGAGCCAGGGTTCTCAGAGTGCAGTTTCTGGACCAGCAGGATAACCTAGGAACTTACTAGAAATGCAATTTTTTGTGCTCCATTCTTGATATATCATAGGATATAATAGATAGATTGTTAGATAGATGGATGGATGGATAGATAGATAGATAGATATAGGTTTTGTTTCTTTAGTTGAGCTTAAGAAAGCTGCTAATTTCTAAAAATGTATTGTGTCAGTATATATATACACACACATACACACCACATATATATAGAAAGACATTTATTTTAAAGTGGCTCACATGATTATGGAGGCTGACAAGTCTCAACACCTGCCATATCAAGCTAGAGACCAAGAAGAGCCATTGAGTAGTTTCAATGCAAAGCTGGCAGACTCAAGACTTAGGAAGAGCTGGTGCTTCATTATGAGTTCAAAGGCAGAAGAAAACTGATGTCCCAGCTGGAAGGCAGTCAGACAGAAGAAGTGCTCTCACTCAGACTTTGTTCTATTCAAGCCTTCAGTTGACTGGATGAGGTCCATCCACATTAGGGAGGGCAATCTGCTTCATTCATTCTACTCATTCATTGTTAACCTCATTCAGAAACACCTGCACAGACACACCTGGAGTAATATTTGATCAAGTGTCTGAGCACCTTAGTGCCATCAAGCTGACACATTAAATTGACCATCATGTGTACCAGGGTGTCCAACCTTTTGGTGTCCCTGGGCCACACTGTAAGGAAAAGAGTTGTCTTGGGCCACACATTAAATACATTGCAACATATAATCACTCATAATATCTTAAGTAAATTTACAGTTTTGTGTTGGGCCACATTTATAGCCATCCTGGGCCACATGTACACATTGTACATTGAATCAGAACTCTCGGTAGAAACTAGCAGTGTTTTTTTTAACCCTCCCAGGCGATTCTAATGTACACCAGGATTTGGAAAGCACTGCTCTAGAGTGAGTGGGCTTTTTAACTCCTCAGATCTGCTTGGAGTCATGGGATAATGCCTTTTAAGAACAGACAACATGGTTGGATTAGAAACTGACCCTGGTAAACAAGAGTCATCTTATTTGCTAGCTGGTTTAGAGAAAGGGCATTGTCATCTGGAACTGAGGAGAGGTGGATTCTGTCCTTCCCTGTCCTAGAGCTTTATCATGATCAGCTTAAGAACCTACAGATACCTTCTCTGAAGGACTCCCCTGTTTGTTGATTTCAGACCCACAGTCTTCAGTAAATGTGGACCTGTATTGTGGAGCTGAGCGAGTAGGCAGGGCCTTCTCTGCCCTTGTTGATCAAATCACCCTGGCGAACTTGAAGTGAGAAGGAGTCCAGTCACAAAGGCCTTTTGGAGTGATGACAACACATATTTTCAAATCTGTACTGAATGAACTAAACCTTCTACGCTCTGTCTCAATAGTCTGGTGTGAAGCCTGAAGAAAAGTTTAAGTTTCAATCCCCTTACTCATGTGTCTCAGTTCTTCAGAGGAAAGCCTTTGGGAGTGAATGGTGGTTGAGGAAAATGGAAAGAAGACGCCAGGTCACATTCAGATGTGCTGGGTTTCCAGTAGAGAGCCATTCTTACTTTGAAAACCATGGAAGTCATACTCAAGTGTGTGATCTGTATGAATTTGTGCGACTACCTTCTTCAGTATAATTTAAATGACTTAATTAATGACCTAATTTTCTATCCAGTTGGTCTTGCTAGAGAATAAACTTACAAATACGCACACACACAATTGAGTGCATGCAGAACTGGCGAACTCTGAATAAACTGTGGATTGTACCAATTTTCTGGTTGTGTTATTATACTATAGTTTGCAAAAGGTTGTCATTGATGGAGACTGGATGCAGTATAGGATATCTCTGTATTATTTCTTACAACTGTCTATAAATCCACAATTATCTCAAATTTATTTTTAAAACATGAGTGTTTCTCATTAAGACCCCACATCCAATGAGTTTGGCCAAGGAACCTGTGTGCTTCCTTTCTCTCTATGAATTAGGGTATGTAATTAGGGTCTCTCTATGTATGTAATTAGATGCTTGACTTAATAATGTGCACAGTAATAGCTAATAGTTTTAGTGGTTAGAGCACTTTGTTCCTAAGCACCTTGTAAGTAGTAACTCATCTAATCCTCACAACAAATCTAACAAGTAGATATTTTATAAGAAAACTGAAGCACAAAGAGGATCAGCAACTTCTCCGAAGTTATTTGGTTGGTACTTAAAGAAGTTGAGATTCAAACCAGCTCCTGTGCCTTGTACTCTAAGCACTGCTCTGCACTTTCTGTCAATAAATACTGTTATGATTCCATTGTTTTACCTATTATCTTAATGTGCAGTCCATGTTATATTTAGAGAGGTTTTAGATTTTATTTATGTGATATACAGTTTCTAGTACTATTTCCAAAGTGAAATGATGTCCAATTGGGTAAGATTAGGACTAGGTTTTCTTTGTTCAATCTCATCCCAATAATTTTGAACTTGCTTTTCAATTTATCACAAATTTTTTATTTTAGTTTTGCTGCTCAGTGTGTTCCCTCTCCTTATTTCATCCTAGCTTGTTTCTTACAAGTTTGATAAGCATTCCCCAGAGCACTGGGCAGCAAGCTGCAGCCCATGAGCCACACCCTGCCCACTGCTGATTATATACAGGCTATGAGCTAAGAGTGGTTATTATGTTTTTTAATAATCAAAAATTTTTCAAAGAATAATTATTTTGTGACACTTGGCAATGATATGAATTCAAATGTCAGAGTTTGTAAGCAAAGTTTTATTGGAATACAGTCATGCTCGTACATTTATGTGTTGTCTACGTCATCTCTCATTCTACAAAGGCAGAATTGCTGGATGGCCCACAAGCATAGAATATTTACTATCTGACCCTTTGCAGAAAAAGTTGAGCAGCCTTTTTGTCATGTGAACCAAGGTGACACAGAAGCAAGGGGCAGGCGTTGTACAAGCACTGTAGAAAAGAGTAGCATCTTTTAAAATGATTTATAAGGGGTAATGAGTTTATGTGATTTTTTAAAAGAATATGATAAAAAAAACATTAGAGCAAGTAGCTTGAAAGCAAAAGAACAAGCCCACACAGAAACGGTAGCTGAACAGCGGCAGCCTCAGAGGTGCTCAGTCTCCTAACCAAGGAGAGCTGAGCCTGGGCCCCTCCCCAGTTCCTCCCCCTCTCCAGGCTTGCTTCCTTTATTGGGAGGCTTGACCAATCGTCAGAAGCAGTTGAGTCTTCTAATAATAACCCTTTAGATAATAATTTTAGTTTATGGAGGGCCCTAAGCCTTCAGTGAAAACATTTACCTAGGCTTCCTTTGGACCTGGAAAAAGAAAGGGGATTGCTACCACATCTGAAATTCAAAACTGGTGGTTAGTCATTGGTTCTATTGGAATGATTGGAGGAGAGTAACTATATAAGATAAAAAGAGCAATATGTCTGGAACACAAATACATTTGCTAACTGGACTTCTCTGCTATGAACCTCATTCAGGCCTGGTCATTTTAAAGGAAAAAATGTTATAGGTAATTTTCTTATAAAGCTGTTCATTTGACTTTTGGCTTGCTTTTCAATGCGAAGTGTAACCAATGACAAAGTTTTAATAGTTAATCAGACAGAAAATATGCTAATTTGGAAGGAACACCCAATGCTATTTTATTCGAGTTTTGATTATCATTCATGGTGACATTAAATACTGAAATAAAGAAACTTCAATAATATTACCTGGGATTCAGAGCTTTTTATTAATTTTGTTTCCATTAGAAGAACTCTTTATTTATTTTTGTTTCATTTTTTGTTTCATTCAGTTCAAAATATTCAAAAATATTCTTTCAAACAAGATTCAAGTGTAACAGGTCATCAGTAACTGGTAATTAATATAGTCGCTTATATGCTTGTGCATAAGCTGTCTAGCGGTTAATGGCCTGGAAGGCATGCAATGTCTTCACGTTGAATGTAGGACACTCTAGTTCAGCAACAACGTCCTGCATCTCAGGACACGTGACCAAAATGAATGCGAGGAAGCTGAGTATCCCACAACCCCCACTCATCTTCAAGAGCTCTTTGAACTCTTTCAGGCTGCGGGAGGGTCTGGCGGTGACGTCACAGGGGAAGGAGCACGCTTGCAGCTTTGGAGGACGAACCTAAGCACTCTGAAAGCGGATTAACATTTATCTCTGGACATTCCCACCCAGTACATAAATGATCAATAGTCAAGACAAAATAGACACTTTTTAAATTCCAAGATTTGAGTTAGCCCTGAGGTTATTTTCTCTTTATTTCCAGACCTCTGCTTACTTTTCCAGTGAGCTTAGCCCCACTCCTGCGCACGTACACGCTTAGCAAATCTTCAATCACCTTTTTCTTCTTCAGGGAAGGGATTCTGAGTTGCTGAGAATATGCACCTAGTAGAGAAAAGGAGCAAATCATTAAGTCACTAAAATTGTTTGAGGTTAATAAATATCAGTGTGTTGGTTTTAAAAGGAAGATCTGCTATATTTGCCCCTCTGCTATTAAAATTCTGTATAAATTTATTGCAGAGGTGTGTATGTAAGTTTGTGTTGATGAAAGTTTTGTATCCTATGATGTTTAGTTATATAATATAAATTAATTTAAATAAATACATTTCTTATTAACACATATTAAGATATCTTTCTAGTTAAAAAACAGAAATGGTCATTATATAATTTAATATAAAAATATAAAGAAAAAACTTGAAACTACCCTAAATATAATCTTCCAGAAATAACCATAGTTATATGCACACACACCTTATACCATGATCCCTATTATGGACATTTAAACTATTTTCAAATTTTCTGTTACTATAAATAATACTGTGGTGAATAGCCTCCTACCTCATCACTGGTTACATCTCTGAATGTCTCCTGAGAATAGATTTCTAGATGAGTAATTTCTGAATGTGTTTCTTAGGAAATTTCTTGAAGTGGAAAATCAATAATTTGTGAACCTTAATTATTTATATATCTGAAACATTGTTTTCTCTTCTGTTTAGTATTTTAAAAATTTGCCAGCTAGTTGGACACCAACTGTAAATATCATCCAATTATAAGTCTAAATTTTAATTGTTTTGTCATGGAGGAAAGCAAAGACTCACAATTTTTCAAAAACATACAAACGCCCCAGGCAGGCAGGTTTTTTTATTCTTCTCAGTGGCAGAGCAAGATTTTTTAAAGGAAAAGGCTGTCATTTTTGACACAAATGAGGATATACTTTAAAAATTCATTCAGTTGCACTGAAGTGTCTACTAATTCATAAATTAACCCCAACTCTGTTCTTTTCTATGGGGGAGTTGTCTTCAGGGTGTTCTTTTCCTAAATCAATTCATCTAGCATGTCTCTGCCTCTGATTCTATCTCTCCCCACCCCAACCCCCCACCTGCCTCTCCTCCTCTGCCTTCATGTAACCTATTATAATTTAGTAGGTAAGCCTTGGAACACTGTCCTCACACCTTCCAGACAGTTCAGCATTCAACTATTGGCTCATATCATTCCAGACTAAATAACAATGATCCCTGGAATTGTCTGTGTTTTTTTTTTCCAAGTGATATCCCCAGTATTGGGTTTTTGAGAATTCTCCTTTCATTTCTGAGCCTCCTCTGATCCTGCTTATCGTTGCTGTAAACAACCATGGCATCCAGGTCATCCATCCCCCAGGTCAGTGAGCTGTCCTTGGGGTAAAGCTCTTCAAGGTTCTCTCCAGAGTTAAATACATGCCTTTTGTACATTTCTCTTTAATGACTCAGAACATTAGAACAGAGAACATGCAGAGACTTCATGGGTCATCTAATTCTCTCCATACCCCTCTTTTTCAGATGAAGAAACTGAGAGATAAATAAGTTAATTAACTTGCCCAGGTACATAGCTATTTGATAGTTACTGTTTTTATATTTGTTAATCTATATTAACAAATGTGATATATTAACATACAAAATTACATGGGAGTTTTATGTTTTTAACAAAACATGATTTATAGCAACATTTCTCAACTATATGTGAACTATTTCATTCAAAGCCATTGCAGTAACAAGAACTTTTGCACATTGTGCAGGCACTTAATTTACCATAGTTTTCAGACCATAAGATGCACCTAGGTTTTAGAGGAAAATAGGGGAAAATTGAAGCAAAAATGTGGCAAAATATGTAATAACATAAATAACATACTATTTCACCAATGTAAATAGAAACAGAACTCGACAGCAGCATTAACAGCCATTTTTCCTCCCAAATTGGGGAGGGACAAGGGGTGGATGCATCTTATAATCTGAAAAATAGGGTAGTTCTTTCCTTCCATT